CGTGGACTGCAGGGTTAAGAAGACCTGGGCTTGGACCTCAACCTCACCAACCTATGACTCACTTCAGGGACAATGAACAGGGAGGGGATACCCATCCTTACCAATGAGGGTCCTATACCCTGCATGGACACCTGTCCCTGCAGAAACGAGGGGGGCTAAAAGCTCAAACTTCCCACTCACATTTCCCCTGAGCCCACAAGGGCTCCAAGGCATCTGCTGGTGGTCTTTGGTCTTCAGCGAGACGGTTCCCACCTCCAAACTTAGCAGAGAAAAGTCAAAGGAGTTCTGTCCGGTCCCTGACCCAGTTCAGCCACTTCTGAGCTTCTTAGCCTTGCTCAGGCATTTGCCTCTCCCTGAGCCCCAGTTGCCTGATATAAAGGGGGGCCATTTATACAAACCACACACATAAAGAAGATGAAAGGTTTAGGCAGGTGAGGGACCAGACGCTCGGTGTTCAGAAAACTCTAATGCTCTTGGATTGAATAAAGGACTTCCCAGCCACCGACCTTGCTGTGTGATACAGAGACAGAGGCTTCCCCTCTTTGAGCCTCAGATGCTCCCTGGACAGGCTGCCCTGATCCTTAGTATCTCTGGGCTAGGAAGAGAGTTGATCACCATCAGCTTGTTGGGGAATCTGTGGCCACGGCTGAGGGCCATCTAGCCCCAAGTTTCCAGTCGGTTGCATGTTGCAGCATCAGGACCCACCAGAAGTCCCTCAAGATTTTTCCAGCCTGTGACTATCCAGCTTTGCACAGGTTGCTGCTGTTGAGAGCTGGAGCTGGCTTCTAAAACTACTCAGGTATCCTTCCACAGAATCCACAGAACCGCGACTGCCATATGCAGGGGGCCCTCCTTCCAGGATCCCAAATCACCTGTTCACAAACGCTGCCTCTAGCAGGAAACTTAACTCTGCTTCACTTAAATACCCACAGGCTTCTGATGCAGGAGGACATCTGGGTGGACGAGTCAGCTCCCTCACTCCAGCCCTGGCCTTTCAGGCTGGGCAAGTGACCTCAGGTATAGAGAGAACGTCAATGCTTGGCATCATTACTGAGAATTCCTGCTGGCCAGAATGTGTCAGGGAGGGTCCTGGGGGGTTTGCTCTCCTACTGACCCCTGTTCGAAATAGAAAGCTGATTTGGTCCGTGCAGGACGTGGAAACACTTGGACAAGTGGCTTTCCCTCATTGGGCCTCAGTTTCTCTTTATGTAAATGGGATTGAGCAGTCCTGGGCAAAAGAGTCCTAGAGCTCTCTCGGCTGAACACTGATGGCTCTCCCAAGTGTGTCTCCATTCCCAAGCCCGCCTCTGTACGTTTGTGGGGTGTGACGGCTCCAAGGGTGGACAGTTCCCGGACCTTCCCCGAGCAGTTCCGCCAAGCGAAGCTCTGGGGCTCCCCATCGCGCGCTGAAAACCCCGAATCCCAGCCGGGCCCCCGTCGTGCTGTCGCTTTAAGGTCGGGCGGGGCGGGCTGGGCGACTGCGCGGCACCTGGGGCCGCCCTAGCCGGGCCACCCGGGAGTCTCGGCGGGGCCAGCGGCGAGGGCGCGGACCGGAGGAGGCGAGGGGCTGGCAGCGGGAGCGGACGCGACGGACGCGGCTGGCGGCGCGCGGCTGGCGAGACCCCGGGACCCGACGGGGAGAGGGACCGCGGGGCGCTCCAGCTGTCCTGCCTTCCCGCTGCCACCATGCCTTCAGGCCCGCCGGGCTCCCCGCGGGCAGACCGCGCCTGACGCCTGTCGCCAGATGGCCGCGTCCCAGGTGGGTGCGATCCCTTCCGTCCCTGCTTGGCGACCACTCCGGCTCGGGTTAAGACGGACCCCTCCTGGACCCCTCCCTCTAACCTTGATCGCGCGTGGCTGGACGCCCCAGAGCACCCCATGTGTTCTAACTTCCAGGGTGGCCTTAGGTGGTGGCACTCAGGGCCTCAGTTTCCCCAGCAGTTAACATGGGGATGGATTTGGCCACTTGTTCAGATGGTTTCTTCTTTACAGAAACTGGAACCTATCGTGCCCTTATTGGTGACATAAGGTGGCAGCGGTGGCACAGCGCATCCCTCCGTGCTGCCAGCCCCAGGGCGGGTACAGCATCTCCTCCCTGTTCTCCCGGCAGGAACAGGGCTGTCTACTAGGGGACTCATGGTCCCACTGCCGCCTTGCCAGGGCCAGAACCTAGACTCAGGCTGCCCTGCTCCTGGTGGGGCTGGAGGGAGAGCCTTCAGGTTCTGAGTGCTGCTGTGGAGATAAAAACCCTAACAGTAGGAGAAGGAGTAATTTTTGTGTATTTTAATTCTCTCGGTGCTCTCCTGTTTTGGTGCCCATTTTATAGAGTAGGGCACCATGGCATGAAGAAGCTTGCCCACTGTCAGAGCAGGGTCCATCCTCTGTCCTGCTCTGCCTCGCCAGCTTCAGATGTGGCCTGCATTCTCCTTGGCATAACGGGCTCCCCCACGACCCCCCAGAGGCCTGCTCAAGGTCCAGAGCTAGCAGAGTCACCACAGTGAGGGGGAGCCATCGGTGGGGAGGAGACTCAGATCTCTGATCCCTCTGGCTGCAGGGAGGTGGGCAGAACTTCAGGGAGGGGGTGGTGTTGGGGCACCATAGCCAGTGACATGGGGACAGAGGTGGGAGCAGAGGACTCCCCAGGCAGAGGGAGGAGCAGGTCTAGCAGAGACCCCCAGGTGGCCAGAGTTTGAGTGAAGGTGGGGAAAGGGCAAGAGGAAGATGGGGGGCCGGCAGTAGTAGAAGCAGGTCAGGCTGGGAGGCCCCACTGAGTAGGGATTGGGGTGGGACTTCTTTGGGACTGGAGGAGCTTCCTGCCTGCCCCCTAGGGTTTGGGGTTACACCCTCTGGGGCAGGGAGCCCTGCCCCTGCCCCCACAGAGTACAGGCTCTGGAGGTGCACCAGTGTGAGGGGTGGGTAAACTGCCTGAGGACCACCTCTCTGAGATGGATGTCTTGGGACAGGACACCTTGATGAGAATCAGAGCCCCGATTTATAATACTAAAAGAACCTTAGCCCTGCTGAGCAAGCTGTCCTTCATCCAGCGGACACTGACACCCTCCAGCTTCCTAGATGGCAAGTTAGCAAGTGCCCTGCTTGCCATGGGGATCCACTGGGAGGGAGGGAGACCCACACAAGCGGATTACCACACGCTATGTGAGAGCACACTCAGGGTGATTGCAGGTCTTTGAGGAGGTGAGCAGGAAGGAGGGCAGGGTGTCACCCATGTCCGAGGCTTACAAATACTTATGGCATGGTTTCACCTGCCACCATTTAGCAAATACATGGACATAGCTGTGTACCCACAAAGGGATTTGAATCAGATCCTGGGCCCCAGTGTCCCTGGGACATAACATTGTTGAAGTCATTAAATGAGGGGACACCCATAAAGTGCTTGGTATGGTGCCCAGCTCACCTCTGCTGCCCCTGTCATTATGTACACAGGCTAGGAAACTGCAGGATAGAAAACCTCTGTACAAGACCATGCTCCTCTTGAGGGCAGGATTCATGCTAGTTTGCATTTTGCTTCCCTTCACATTGAGCAAGTATTGTTTTCCTAGAAAGTAAAAAAGCATCAAAGGTGACCTCTTGCAGGTGTGCCCAGGTGTGAGAACCAGGCTGTATCTTGCTGTATCAAGAAGGTCCTTCACCTTCTTGAGCTGAATCCGTTAATTTGTAAAGTGGGAATGTTTGCCTGTCCTGCCCACCTGCCTCGGTTGAGGGGAGTCATGTCACCAGACAGGGATTCTGGGGAGGACCCTCCAAACCGGAGAATGGAATCTCCACTCAGCCTGGACAGGTTCTTGACTTTAACCACAGATAATTCAGACTCATCAAAAGCAAGGCACAAGCAAAGATTTATTTAAAAACAGCAAAAGTGTCCATACTCAAAGACGGTGTGGGCGCCTTTGCCTCTCAGAGCAGAGGAGACAGGCGATGTGCCCGGGGCTGAGCTCTGTGATTATGAATGTGATTTTCCTGGGAAGAAATATGCAGGTTCTCAGGCAAGCTTCTTTGAAAATCAAGACCCATGATAATCATTCTATATTTGGGGTTCAGAGTGTTTCTCTTTGGTCAAGCAGTTTAACCATAAATCACCTGTGGGCACATTGTGTAAGTCTTTGAATCTGGTGACACTTAAATTAATTATGTTTTTGTTCTAGTTGATCCATTACAGGCACACACTGGAGGTGTTTTCCATCTAAGGGGAGGGACAAGCATGACTGGCCACGGACCCGGGTCTCCGTCTACTCAGGGTCTCTGTCCCTGTCTCCCTGAGTCTGTCTCTCTCAGGCAGATGAGGCGCTGGGGGAGAAGGGAACTGTCAATCACCATGACATGCAGGGAAGGAGTTCTGCTTTGCTTGTGGGGTTCTTCATGCTTTGTTTTTCAGTGACATTGGAGAAGTAGGTGTTGTGAGTAGGTCCCTTCTGCTCACATTTGGCCAAGCTTGGCTTTTTAATAGGTTATTATTAATTATTGCATCTGGAGATTATACCATAGTTCACTGACCATATTGTTATAGTGGACATTTTAGGCTCTTTATGACCAGCATAAACAAGCCATGGTGAGTGTCCTTTTGTACAAAGTCTTGCTCCATAGAGTGATTTTCAAACTTTTTATGCTTGTTCTGGGTCTTCGTGTCATCCCCTGTCAAGTGGAGATAACAGCAGGACCTCACAGCCTTGTAACCAGATGAGATAAGGCAGAGCCTAACCAGCAAGTCCTGGTCCTGGCAGGTCAGGGGACCCAATAGGTGCACACTCTCCACCCTCCCAGTTGTCCACAAAGTCGTCATGTTGGGGAGCCTTATGCCCACCAGGCCATGAAGCCCTTGAGAGGCATAGAGTGCGTGTGGCTCTCTTACTGGGCTCCTACTGTGTCCCAGGCACAGCTCTAGGAACCTGATAAACATTATCTGTGACCCTCAAAGTAGCCCTGCAAAGTCAGGGCAGTGTCCCCATTTCACAGGCAAGGACACTGAGACCTGGAGGAGCCTGATGAGCTCTCCAAGGCTGCACAGTGACCTTAGGCAGAGGAGGACTAAAACCCAGGTCCCTGGTTACCTCTCACATGCCCATTTCCCTTTCTGTCTTTCTGTCCAGACATGTGACAGGGGCCGAGTGGCCTCCACCCTTCGCTATTGCATGATGATCGGCGGCATGGTGTTTCTGGTAGCCGGGACGCTCTGCTTCGCTTGGTGGAGTGAAGGGGATGCAGGTGCCCAGCCTGACCAGCGGGTCCCACCTGCTGAGCACGCCGTGTCCCAGGCCTCTAGACCCCTGCTCAGGTCTGTCAGCTTCTTCTGCTGTGGAGCAGGTGGCCTGCTTCTGCTCTGCGGCCTACTGTGGTCCCTCAAGGTCAGCAGGCGGGGGCCACCCCGGTGGGACCCATACCACCTCTCCAGAGACCTGTACTACCTCACTGTGGAGACCTCGGAGGAGGAGAACTGCAGGTCAGTGGGGTGGGATGGGGACCTTAAGTGACTGATCATAGTCACACTATTCAGCATTTTCTCAGTAAATTCTCCTGAGGCTCTTTCTCTGGACCAGGTCCTTCCCTGTATCCCAGGTTGATCAGTGGGTCTGTACTGACCTGAAGGAGTTTAAAGCCTCTTCAGCAGATGACAAGCCAGAGTAGTTAGAGCTGTGTGAGAGAGACAGACACGTCCCCTGGGGACGTGGAGAAATCCAGGCAGGCTTCCAGGAAGAGGTGAGCTCAGTGGCATAGCAGAGGAGTTTAGAGCTCAGGCACAAGAAGGATTCAGGTCCACTGGGATCCTGACCCAGTTCTATCACTAACTAGCTGAGGGACTTCAAGTCAGTCACACCCTTGCTCCATAAGCCTCAGCTTCTTCATCTGAATTTAAACCATAGTAACGGCAATGACAATAATAGCACGTGCCTGTGTGGTACCTGCCATATACCGCTATTCATGGTGACACCGTCAGTCCTCATGGTGGCCCTCTGAAGCAGCTACTGCTATTTTTATTTTTTGGTAGCAGGGAATTGAACCCAGGGGCACTTAACTACTGAGCCACATTCCTATCTCATTTTAATTTTTTTGAGACAGGGTCTTGCTAAGTTGGTTAGGGCCTTGCTAAGTTGCTGAGACTAGCCTTGATCCTCTGCCTCAGCCTCCCAAGCTGCTAGGATTACAGGAGCGCACTTCTGCACCTAGTCAGCTTTTTTTTTTTTTTTAGATGTGTAGACCTTTATTTTATTATTTACTTATACATGTTGCTGAGAATCAAACCCAGTGCCTCACACATGCTAGGCAAGCGCTCTACCACTGAGCCACAGCCTCAGCCTCCAGCTACTGTTTTTAACTGCGTTCCATAGAAGAGGAAACCCAGGCACCAAGTCATTAAGTAACTTGCTTGGGAACATCCAGCTAGTGTGTCTCAGAACTGGGACTTGAACACTGGCCTCCCCACACTCCTTGTGAAATGAAATGATGTGATGTCTACGTAGAGTGTAGCCCAGTGCCCAGCACACAGTAGGTGCACAGGAAATGTCAACTTTCCCTCAAGGGGACAGGTATGTGCAAGGGCACAGGGCAGGGTGGAGACAGATGCCGCATGAATTTCTTCTCCGGTTGTGCCATGATTGCTGTCATCCCGGCCTTTTGGGACATTTTTTTCTTACTTCTCCATGAAATTTGACTCCCATAGACGTGAGGCCTCTCTGTGTGTATTCTGTGTCTACGTCTGTGCTCTCTTCCTAAAAGGAACATCACCCAGCCCCAGAACCAGTTTTGCCCTGGTGAGCATGCCTGAGGGACGCATGCCCTTATGTCTTTATTTATTCAACAAACGACCTGGTGTGCCACACCTCAGGGGCCTGCCTGCATCATCTGTCTTTTGGTCCTTCTGTCCATCTAGGGCGCCCAGCATAAGAATTACTGTTGCCATTTGCAAGGCACAACTTAAAAGTGGTGGGAGCCTGCTGGCTGCAAAGCTTGTCCCCCCTCCCATGCCATCCAGCAGCGCTGAACTTCGGCACAGCAGGGGCTCACCCAGATTCCTGTGAGCCGCCCCTCTTCCCTTTGTTAGAGGGCAGATGAATGTGCTTGTTCCTGCTCTGGCCAGACAGCACTCAGCACAGCCACTGAGCCCAGGAGTCAGCCCCCTGGGGCCGACTGTTAGAGGGAGGGCTAGGGTCTTGGGGACCACCCAACCAAACCCTATATTTCTCAGACGAGACTCAGAGGGACCTAGTGGCGGTGGGACGAGGAGCCAGGCCAGGCGTTGGCACTCTGGACAGGCACAGGCAGGGAGGGGGTGTTTTCTGTACACACAGCTGTGTTGAGGCAACAGGGTCCAGGCCACGGCTGCACCTTTCAGGTGGGGCCACTCTGCCTTCATTCTGAGCAGACTGGACACCCACCAGGAGGCTGCGGAAGGCTCCTGGCCAGCAGGCTCTGACATCCGAGTGTCAGATTCTGAGGCTGGGCTGGCTGCGTGTCGAGGAGGCTCTCCTGCTAGTGTGTACCTTTCCCCTGTGGCGGCCAGCCCAGCTCTGCAGCCTGGGGAGCCAGCATCTGGCTATCAGGTTGTGCCTGTCTCCAGGGACCTTGCTCTCTGCCGGTGCCTGGCTGTGGGTACATTTGGGTCAGAGACACAGGCCTCCTTGGTCTGGGCATGTTCATTCCCCTGTGGTGCCTCAGTTTCCCCACTTATCACCCACTTATTCTTTCCTGCATTTAACTAATGTGTATGGAGCACCTACTGTGTGCTGGGTCCTATTCTGAGGGCTGATGATGCAGCAGTGGACAAGATAGACAAAACCCCTGTCTTTAGGGGCTCACGGAGAACATATAAGCCCCCTTCACAAGGTGGTACATGGGGCCTCCCAGGGGTCCCATCTGCAGTGGGCACAGCACAAGGCCCAGGGCTACTCGGAAGTCAAGTGTTTTAGTCCCTGCTCCTTCTTTTATAAACTGCATGTCTATGAACATTAATAGATTTTCTGGGTTCCATCTGATTCCTCATCTGTCAGCTAGGGGTGACAGACCTGGTCCCTAGACTGCCGTGAGACTCAGATGCGCTGAGTGATGGGGAGGTGTACGCTGTAAGGCTCGGGTACACTCTGACTTTCCTTGCTGTGACCGTGTTTACAGCTGGCAATGACCTCTCGTGCCCACTCACTGACTGGAGCCTCAGCTACCTCTGAGGTGTGTGTAGGGATTAGGCCCATTTTACAGAAGAGAGGGCTGAGGTGTGGAGAGATGGGTTGACTTGGGAGAGAAGGGTGACACTATGGGGTTAGCTCCAGCTTTGCAGTCAGGCAAGGTGGGGACTTTGCCACCTAGTTGATTTGCCACCTAGTTGATGTGTGAGCATGACTCACTTATGAAGGGGTGGATGCTGTCCTTCCCTCCAGTAGTCATGAATGTGAAATGAGATTGCAGAGCTCAAGTGTTAGGCAAATGGTATCCCACTTGGTGCTAAACCCCAGGTCTCCTGCCCTGACCAGGCTCCAGAGAGCGGGGCAAGTCCCAGCCTCCATGGAGCCTTCTGCGCATGGGGACTATTGTGGCAGGGCTGTCCCAGCGAGTGCTGGGTCACTGGATCCAGAATACACACACCATGAATGGAGCCTGCCCCAGGGTGTGTGACTTGGCTGCCCTGTGCAGGGCCTGTGTTCCCCGAGTTCCTGGCAATTATGGACCATGACCTTGGAGATTAAGTGCTGGTGGGTCCAGCTGGCCACCGAGGTGACAGGAGGTGGTGTTTAGGGCCACTCCACATCTGCCCTGTAAGCAAACTTCCTGCTGTATGCTGAGCTCACAGGGCCCCTGGGCCCTGCCCTGCCAGCTGTCCCCCTCAGAGCTTAACTAACTGGGAGAGGGCAGGCAATGACCAGAAGGTGAACAGGCCAGGAGATGTGGGGGCTCTGGAAACCCCACTACTTACATTTTTCTGAGGGCTGACAAAGCTTCTCCGCATTTTTCCTTCCCTGCATCTGTGCAATAGGAATTATTATCCCATTTTATATGGAGGAGAAAAGGGTTCAGAGACTGTGTGTGCGGGGAGCAGGTCACATAGCAAGAGAACTCAGCTTGCCTGACACCAGGAGCACTATTCTTTGTCTTTCCCTCTCCTGCAAATGCCTCTGGGTGCTCAGAGAGGGCAAGGGCCCTGCTGGCTTCCTCAGCAGGGCTCCTGGCTGATGTCCTGTGTTCTACTGCTACCCAGGCTGGGTTCAAATCCAGGTTTCCATCAACCTGCTCTGTCACCCTGGTCTGTGATGCGGAGCAGTGAGCCTGCTTCCCTGGTGGCTTGGGCCAAGAAGACATAGTACCTGAGAAGGCTGTGTCCCCCTCAGGTGCTGGATGCTTCCTGGAGGAGGCAGCAGCCAGTTCCCAGCACAGGTCCCTGGTGTGTAATCCCATCCCCCACCTCTTCTGTCCCCTTTGCTGGCTTCCTGCTACTGGCCCCTCCTTGGTCTCCACAGCAAGACCACTGGTGTGTGCAATGGGAATTATTGATTCCCCAGCCAGCTCCATGCTGACCGAGGACAAGCTACTCGGACTTTCTGAGCCTGTGCAAGCTTACCTTACAGGACACCTGTGACAAGAGGTCCTGGCCCCACCCCTCCTTGAAGCCCTTTGACGACATATGAATGGCCCCTATTGGTGCAGCATGTGCTACAAGACTTCTTGCATCATCTGACTTCATTTTCACACTATCTGATGAGATAGATGCCATTATTGTCCCCATTTGACAGATGGGGAAAATGAGGTCCTGAGTATTGGAGTTACTGAGCCAGGATCTCCCACCCAAACCATGGCAGAGCCATGGCTGAACCAGCTGGTGCTCAGAATCAGGACCAGCTGAGGGACTCAGTGTCAGGAGTGACCTTCAAGATCACCTAGTCAGTCCCGTATCTGTCAGTGTCCCCCAAAGCTGTAGCAGCCTGGCCACAGGCCAGTGACCCTCCCACCCCCCAGGCCTGGGCAGGGAGGCACTTGACCCTTGAAGATGAGCTACCCACCAGGGCGCTGAGAGGCAAGAGCCAGTCTCACTCCTGCCAGTGTTGGTGTGGCTTGTTCTTGGAACCTGGCCTGCAGAGCTTCAGAGGACCTGGTCTTTGTCTCAAGTCCCTGAGGGTGGTTCAGTGGCTCAGGGTGGGGGCGGGGAACAGGCTCACAAAAGCTAAGCCTTACAGGGTAAAGGTGGTGGGCTCGGGACATGGCAGACTCCCACTCCTGGAGGTGGGCACATAGAAGTAATGTCCGGGCAGGCCTGCCATAGCTAGGCCCCAAGCACCCAGAAGTCCCACTCTGCCCTGAGCCTGGCAACTCTGATCTTGCAAAGGATTTTTTGGTCAGCTGTCCGCGTCTTCCTGTTCATGGAGCATGGCTCAGTGATCCAATGACATCCCTGAACTCATGCCCTCTGCCCCCCTCTGCCCTGGGACAACTGGGCAGTGTCTGTGCAGTGACAGAGAAGAGCCCCATAAGGACAGAGCCAGGAGTGGGAGCTTGACCTGGGGAGGGACACATCAGAACACATCATGAGGACCCTCAAAGGACAAGTGGGGACTGCGCAGCAGAGGAGCGTGCTGGGGACAGCCTTTCCGGGCAGAAGGAACTGAGGCGGCAGGAGGGCAGGCTGCGCATGCCCAGTGACAGCTGTCTTCACGGGGCATGCAGGGGCTGCTCGGATCTGGACCGTGAGCTTGGTGCGATGGCGCACGCCTGTCATCCCAGTAGCTCGGGAGGCTGGGGCAGGAGGACTACAAGTTCAAAGCCAGCCTCAGCAATTAAGTGAGGCCATGTCTCAAAACATAAAAGAGGGGGGAAAAAACCCCAAAACAAAACAACAGGCAGGGGTTCAACCCCTGGTTTTAAAAAAAGAACCTGGACTGTGGCATGAAGCCTTCCCCACCTCTCGCCCCCGGCACACAGCAGGGTCTTGTCCTGGCCTGGGCTAACAGCCTTTCTTCTTTCTGTAGGACCCCAAAGGTGGTTGCCATCCCTACTTACGAGGAGGTCACGCACTGCCCACTGGCTGAGGGGCCCCCAGCACCACCTGTGTGCCCCAAGGAGGAAGGCCGGAGGTGTGGCGACGCAGGGGATGCCCTGCTGGGGACTCCGCCCCCCTTGGCTCCGCCCAGCTACGAGAGCGTTTTCCTTGCTCTTGATGCCTGTCCTGGAGACACAACACCTGCTCCAGGTGCTGCATGCTCCTTCCCAGGCCTGGCTCAGACTGCAGGGCGGGATGGGGCGAGTTACAGGCTCCTCGCAGGCCCTGAAACTTGCATCAAAAATGATGTGTCATTTCCAGGGTCTCCTCCGGTGCCTGGTATGCAGTAAGCACCCAACCATATGTCTGTTGCTAAATGCTGTTTTAAGAGTCTATTATTGTATAACAAACCACCCCAAAATTTAGTGAGTTAAAATAAATCCTATTTTATTATGTCTCACAATTCTGTGCCTGGCTGGTTTCCGTGGTTCTTCTGCTCCGTGTAGTATCTTAGAGGGTGCAGTCATCAGGGGCCCAACTGGGACAGAACATCCAAGTTGGCATGTTCACAGTGCTGGCGCCTGGTGCTGGCCGGCATCTAGAAGAAAACACAGGGCCCCAGAGGCAGAGGTGGAACTGGCCCAAGATCACACACCAAGTTTATGACCAAAAGAACATGGACTTTGAATCCAGACCACCCGTGTAGGGATCCTAGCACATTCCAACCTTGGTGATGTTGAACAGTAGCCTTCCCTGCCTTGGTTTCCTTGTCTGTAAAGCAGAGTTGAGAATCACAGTGGCACAAGCCCCACCTGGGACTGCTGAGTTGGGGATGGCAACAGTGGATACAGAGAGCTTGCATGGAGCCTCAAGCTCAGCGCCAATGTGGTGCATAATAAATGCCAGGTTTTCTAGGTATGCAAGCTTTATTAATAGAGGTAATATCCCTTTACCAAGTGCAGATGCCCCTGCTGCACACCTCCTGCTTTCCAGATGTGCCAGAGGTATCTACTTCCTGTCCAGCTACACTCTGCAACTCGAAGGCTCCACCCCACCCCACTTCCCATGAGAAATCCAACTCGATGAGATTACCTGACCTTCCCAGCAAGCAGGGGTTCCAAGGCTGTGGGAGGCCATCCTTGTACTTGATTTGAGTTACCTCCCTGGCTGGGTGAGAGGCGCTTAGACACAGCTGTGTTATAGCTATTCCCCACCCTTCTCCAGGTCTGAGGGCTTGTCCGTGCAGAGGCGTGTCTGGCCACTGCCCTGAAGACCCAAATCGTCGCCCCTGACCTTGGGATGCTGCCCCCCTTAACCTTCATTGGATGGGATTTTTTCTGGAATTTTTTGTTCCCCAATAAAAGCCCACTCCCTGGCATGTTCTCTCTCTCTCTCTCTCTTTCTAGTCTCTTCTATAAACCTCGCCACCGCCTCGGAGCTGGTATTAAAGGTAATTAGAGTCTTGTCTCTTTAATTTAGAACTCCCTAGCGTTTACTCATGAATCGAACCTTCTTTCATGAAGCCAGCACTGGGCGTGTGGCAGACAAGGCCTGGGGCTCAGTCAACAGGATAAGGGCAGTAGCCGTAACAGCATGCCATATGCCATTGTTTCCCACCTGCAAAACCACTCCTTACAGGTGGTGTGTCCCCATTTAACAGGTGAGAAGACTGCATCAGAAAGGCAAAATCTCAGCCATGTGCAGTAGTGCACGCCTGGTAATCCCAGAAGTTGGGGAGGCTGAGGCAGGAGGATTGTGAGTTCAAAGCTAGCCTCAGCAACTTAAGAAGGCACTAAGCAACTCAGCAATCCTGTTTCTAAATATGAGTGCCCCTGAGTTCAATCCCTGGTAGGCAAAAAAAAAAACAACTCAGAGAATAAAGTTACAGCCAGTGTTTTTTTGAGGCCTGGGATCTCCCACCAGTGCCTAGACATTGCCATCACTGCCACCCAGGCTCCTGCTTCTGCCTGTCCTGGCTGCAGTCTCCTCAGCCCAGGGGCCAAGGTGAGGCTGGTCAAATGCAGATCAGATCAGGCTCAGAACCGGTACCCACCTCACTCTGAATAACGAAAGCCACTGCACTGGTCTGGGAACAGGTCTGGTCTCCATCCCAACCTCCCATCTCCTGCCTCCCTTTCCCCACATACTCGATCCGTGCACAGCCAGGCTCCTAAGCTCTGCACCCTCCCTCCTTCTAGAAGTTCTTCCTCATCCCCCTGTGGGCTTTTGGAAGGAACCCTCTCCCTCCCCAGCCCTGGAATCGCAGTCCCAGATCCCCCTCAGTGCCTCCCTCCCTTCTTCTCCCCTGGTACCCCTTCCCCTTCCCAGGTATCCCCAGGGCAGTGTGGGAGTGGCCTCCCTTTCTGTGTGACCTTGGCTGGACACACATATTTGGGGACCCTCTGCAGTTCCTAACAGGTGGGAGCTTCTGCCCCCAGAGTGAGGAATTTCCCCGGGGGCAGGTGAGTTAATGAGTTGCAGGTGTGAGCGGAAGGCCCCACTTCTCCCGGCAGGAGCAGAGGGGGCAGGGTGGGAGCACTGGGCAGCCAGAAGGACATTTCCACTTTCTCTCACATCACTCATCTGTGCCTTAATCAAAAGCCCTCAGGAGGGACAGTGACACACTCAAGGTTACCAGCTGTGTGGAGGCTCAGCCAAGGCCACATCCAAGGTCTCCTGACAGAGGCATGTTGCTGTCCCCTTCTGAGCTGCAGTGGCCTCACTGAAAACTCAAGAACCTGTGTCCACTACAGGTAGCCCCATCAAGGAGCCTCACGAGGGCCAGGTCTGCCACTTGGCGGTCCCTGGTGGCACCAGTGGGCTTCCTGCCTGGCTGTCTAGCGCCTTCACCCCACACAGACACCATCTTGTGCTGGTTGCTGGAGACCCAGATGTCAGGGACCCTTGGAGCTCAGCCCCCTCCTGCACCTTCCCTGGGCTCCTCCCAGCTTCCGTTACCCAGGTAACGCCTTCCCTTGGAGGTTCCACCTGCAGTCGGCCTAGTGCAGTCAGAAACCTCACCTGCTACTCCTCTGTTGCTAACTATGCTCATTTGGATGGTTCTCTCCCTAAGTGAAAAATTAAGCGATTCTGTCTCCCCTGCACAATCCTGCAGCGGTTCCTTTGACCTTTTAAAGAACGACATATACCTTCGCATGACCCGGGAAGTTTCCTGCCTCTACTTCCCTCTGGCCTTCCTCTGCCCTGCTCCTTACAGTCCATCCTTCTACTCACAAATACCATCTAGAGTGTCCCCTGGTCTAGCCCCATGGACACAGCAGTGAACAAAACAAGGCTGCCACCCTGCGCGAGAGCTTGGGTTCCCCTCGAGAGAGACAAGAGACAGATAAACTGATAATGGGTGTAGAGTGATAGATGGTATGAATACTATGGAGAAAAATGAGCTGGGGAAGGAGGACAGGACACCATTGGGGAGGGGCGTCTGTGATTTTAGGGTATGACCAGGAAGAGCTCACTGTAAAGGAGACATTTGGTGGAATACCTGGAGGAGCTCAGGGAAGGAGCCACATAGCTATCTGGAGGAAGAGCTTTCCAGGCAGAAGAAGGGCAGGGGTAAAGGCCCTGGGGTACCTGTGCATTCCCAGAACAGCAGGGAGCCAGGGAGGTCAGAGGAGTGAGTGTTGAGCTCAGAGGGGTGATGAGCAGGTTACTGGGCACATTATCCGGGGCTTTGGGTCATCCTGGATTTTTGGCTTTTACTCTGAGAGCCAAAGAGCTATTCCAAGGTTTTGATCAGAAGAGTGACCTAGTCTTTGGGTTAGAAAGAGACTTCCTGGGTCGAGGATGGAAGCAGAGACTAGGTAGGGGGAGAGAAATGACGGAAGCCCAGCCTAGGGTGATGAGCAGTGAGTGGGTGAGAAGTGGCTGGCTTCTCATATCCTGAAGGTAGGGCCAGCAGGATATGGGGGTGAGAGAGGATGGTGGTGGCTGGATATCCAGGTGGGTGTCCTGGTAACTCACGGGAAGGATGGAGTTGGTGTGGGAAGGCAGGTCCGGGAGGAGTAGGCAAGATGGACCAACTGTGCATAGCATGTGGCCTTGTCTCCAGCCATGGGTCAATGGGCATCTGCCTCTGGGCCATTGCGCATGTTGGCCCCTTTCCTGGATGTTCCTCCTGCCCTGTCACAGGAATCCCTTCTGTGAATTTGTCCCCACTCTGGTCTTATCTGGCTCTTTGTTTTATGCATGTGCTGACCTCATGCTTATTACAGTCTTTGTCATACTGTGCGGCAGAAGGTAGGACTAAGCACCCCCAATACTGTGTTGATCAGAATGCCTTACACCTCAGTGTCCCGCACGTGGTAGGAGCCCAACCAGAGACTGACTGAGGCTCTGGTTTGAATTTAGCTGTGCCGCCGTGGGTGGCTCACCTTGCCTCCCTTACCTTGCCTGCATGGGCCTCATTTCTGCGACTGTCAACTGGGTATGCTCTTTCCCTACCTGCCTCTTGTGGGATGGTTCTTCCCCACGAAGTAAGTAGTTGAATCCCTTTAGACAGGAAGATGTTGTGAGCCCAGGTGTGGCTGGCGCGCCCCCTGCTGGAGGGTGGCTGGAGGCTCAACAACTCCCCTCGCCCCGCCCGCCTCCCCTCCGCTTCGGTTCACGGGGGAAGGGAGAAGTCAGAGGCGAGGAGGGCTTGCGGGGAGCAGGAACCGCCCGGAACATTTTCCAAAACAGGTGCACACATTCTTCCATTTAGTTCTTATCACGACTCTTTGGAGAAGATTAGATTAGACCCATTTTTCTTTCCCTTCTTTCTTTTCTTTTGTTTCTTTCTTTCTTTTTTTTTTTTTTGAGAAGCGACTCAGATTAAAAAAAAAAAAAAAGTAAAGAAGGCTGATTCGTGAATAAAGAAAGGTCGGAGTTGCGAGAAAGTGTACGGGGACCCAGGAAGGCCTCCCAGGAATGGCTAAAAGTCAGGTCCCTCTACACTGGGATTGGGGGTGCGTTGGTTCCGGTCACAGCTCAGCCCTCCAGCTCAGTTTGGGAAGATATTAAGCAACCCCTACACTCCTTGGTCTCGGTTTCCTCATCCCTGCGCCCCCCCCCACCCCACTCCCGGCTGTTGCCACCTCCTAGGGGGCTGCAGGATGGAGGCCCACCACCGCAGGATGTGACAGGAGGGTGTAAGCACGTGTTGTGGCGGCCATCAGGGGGCGCACGAGGCCCTGCTGGACCACAGCGATCCATTCAGTGGCCAGTCCCTCTGCCAGATTCTAGGACCGGGTAGGCTGCCGTTCCTCTGGGTTTTGGTCTCTTTTTCTGGGATCAACATCAGCTGGGGGACCCTGGATTTATTGCTTCCTATCTCTGAGCCTCTGTAAAACAAAGGTCCTGACTTGTGAATAGTCTCAGATTACTTCCCCTCCCTTATGTCATTTCCAATTCACAGGTGACAAAACTCACATCCACCTGCCTAAATTTACTCTGGAGCCAGATCTGGAGGTGATCCAATATCTTAGCCTTCAGTGATCTCTTGGGCAGGGTCCTCTGCCCTCTGTGCCAGGGGACCTCCTATCTGTAACAGGCAGACTGAACCAGTAATAGAGAAGCCCCTCCTGGAAAAAGGGTCTGTGGGAGGAACGCCAGGCAGAGTGCATGCTGTGAGCCTAGGTGTGGCCTGAGGGAACAGCACAGGCTGCCAAGGAGGAGGGAGAAGTTGCTGACCACAATTTCCAAAACTTGAAAGCCTAGTATCCAAATGACACCCTCCACCCTACATCAGCAGTTCAACCCTGCAAGAACTCCAGGGCATGTTCTCCTAGAGACGCCCCTGGCCCTCATTCTGCAGTCCCGGGAGAGAATCTGACTTCTCCCATCCGCTGTCCCAGAACTGACAATCCACCAGTAGAATGTTATTCTCTGGATCGAGACACCTTCTCAGGCTGGGCTGTGAGGACCTTAGGAGGTTGTTCTGGGTCATTCACACCCTGCAGGGGCATCAATTCACAACAACCCTTTGGGGTTAGGGACAGCTCGTTATAAGCAGGTCTGGATGGTGCATAGCATATGAAGGGGACATGGAGGCTAGGCCTGGAGACAGCTCTGCCCTGGGAGGGACTCTTATTATCCCTATCTTACAGAGGAGGACACAGAGGCATAAGCAGCTAGTTTGATCGAGACCACACTACCCAAGATGGTGGAGCCAGAATCCAAACCCAGACCCTGGACCCCTTTCACCCCGTGCTGTGGTGCAGCAGTTTGCACCGTGGCCAGGGCATGGGCTCTGGGCTCCTGTTCCAGCTGCTCTGCTATTTCTACTTTGTGTGACGTTGGTCAAGTTACTCATCTGGGCCTCAATGTCCTCATCTATAAGGTGGGAATAGTGGTGACTCCTTGCTTCATGGGGCTCCACTTCAGTGCAGTGGCAGCTGTAATGTTTCTACAAGTCACCGTTCAGTAGATATGGGCTGTGCCTGCTGAACCCCAGATGAGCACAGGGCTCTACAATGTCAAGTTGCAGGATGCTGGCCTCCTCCAGTGGCATTCCAACCTGCAGGATGGTTCCCTGCTTCCCATGGCTGGCAGGTGTGGAGCCGCCTGGTCACACACTCAGCCCCACACTAGGCAAATGAGGTGATGTCAAAGCCTTGGCTGGGGCCCAGCCTCTGCAGCCTCCCTGTCCCTCCCTGCTCCTCCCTCCCTCAGATCCACACACACACAGTCGGGGCTGCTGGGCCCAGAGGGAAGGTGAGAGGGCCAGGAGTGAAGGTGGACGGCTGGGCGTGCCTGCCCATTGGTGCATGCCACTTCCAGCCGGGCTGAGCTGCTGGACCTGGGATTGGGAACTGGCCCCCAAGGGATCCTGCTCTCTTTAACTTTAAGCCTCAATTTGCAGCAATCCCAGAGCTTCGCCCCTCCCTGGCGTGCCTGTGGGGGTTAGCATGTGATTGTCGCACTCCCTCTGCTGGGGGTGCACTGGCCGGGGCCTGGCCAGGTGGCCATGGCTGATGAGAAGACCTTCCGCATTGGCTTCATTGTGCTGGGGCTGTTCCTGCTGTCCCTCGGCACCTTCCTCATGAGCCACGACCGACCCCAGGTCTACGGCACCTTCTACGCCATGGGCAGTGTCATGGTGATGGGAGGCGTTATCTGGAGCATGTGCCAGTGCTACCCCAAGGTAGGCAGTGCAGGGGCTGGGGGGGGTGGGATGGGCTGGGGCCAAGGGTGCTGGCTGTGCCTCATTCCATGCGCCTGTCCCCATCCTTAGACCTCTCCATCCTTCCACTGGACTCCTGGGTTTCTTCTGCTCTCAGTAGCCTCCATTTACTCACCCATCCATACTCACCCTGAGGGCTGATCAGAAGGCACTGGGCCCAGAGGCCAGAACCAGAGTCACGGGGGAGACAGTGGAGCACAGACCTGTCCTGGTGCATGGTTCCAGAGGCTGACGAGTGCTCGCCGCACCAGGCTCTCCTGGTCTGTGGTGCCCATCTCTGTGGCTCCACGGCAGAGCAGAGAGGCCGAGGCTCCAAAAGGCGAGGCCCCAGAGCTGAATAGCAGAGTCTGGGCTGGAGAGTGTAACGGGCAGTCCTCCACCTCGGGCCCTTCTGGATCCCGGAGCCGCTGAGAGTCCTGGGGTGGGCCAGGCCTAACCCCGGTGCATGTGCTTTTTCAGGGTTTTATATATTCCTAAGCCTGGTGAGCCCTCTAGTTTAGGCAAGAGCCCTGGTTCTGGAGTTCTGTGTTCTGGCTCCAGCTCTGTTCCAAACTCTGTGTGACCTTGTCTCTCTGAGCCTTAGTATCGTCATCAGCAAAATGGGGCCCCAAGTCTCTTCTGCAGCCTTGTGGGTTATTATGATCAGAGCTGGAGTACAGGAATACTTGTAATTTACAGAGTGTTATAATTAGGTATAACGCTGCGTTGTTGCTGTTGTTGATCCTGGACGTGTCAGGACTGTAAAACTTCCATACCCAGAGAGGTTGGGTGACTCTTCCAAGGTCACTTAGCAGGTCAGAGACAGACTCGGAGAGACAAGGATCCTCTGTTTTCTCAATTGTACAATTTGTGAGCAAAGAAGACAGGGTTTGGGGGACGTCTGAGGCCCTGCTGAGCCTAACTTGGAGAGCTCCAGGTCCAGGCAGATCAGCCTCCCAGCCCCCAGCCCCTCCTCTCCTCCCACAAGAGTTCAGAGCAGGGAAGAGGCTTGGGCTGGCCCAGTCTCTCCCAGTCCTGCCTTCTTTGTGGGCCAGCCCCGGGGTGTCAGTGTGTTGGCAGCTGGGGCGGTCTGAGCTGGTTTGTGGTCATTTACCAGCAGTTTACAGTCAACTCGCCTCTGTCCCTGCAATGCCCCAAGTAGAGGTCACCGGGAGAAGAGGGCCTTGGGGCCAGAGCCTCCACGTCAGAATCCTCCTCCCCGAGGGAGGAGCTAGACCTGGGCGAGGGCCAGGGGACATGCAGGGTAGCATCCTTCCTGCTGCTGCCTTCCCCAGAGGTGGCTCGGGTGACCAGGGTGGCAGTGGGTGGGATACTGCTGGGTTTTAATGAGCTCTTGTTGATGGGCTCACATGCTTATGTGCTGTGGGGGCAGCATAGTCGGGGGAAACCCACGCCTTCCAGCTCCCACAGGCCCGGATGTAAACCCCTGCTTCCTCTGTCACCACTGTGGCCTTGGCAGAGGGGTCACCTTTGCCAGCACCCTGTGTGGCCAGGTGGGGGCATGCATGGGGGATGAGGCACCACCCTGGCAGAGCTGTTGCTCTGGACACACGTGCTGGTGGCACTGGGTGGGTTGTGGGTGAGTCCAGGGGTGTGGGACAGTCCAGGTCTGTGTGTGTATCGCAGGGACTCAGGTATTAGACCTGGAGCAGGCTGGCTCCAAGAAAGGGAAGGAGAAAGGGTGTCATAAAGGAGGGGGATGCTTGGGGGTCCTACACGGTCCACCGGAGCCTGGGCCGCTGTAGCCGGTCCTCCCTGGAGCCCCTCCCCTGGCTCTCAGGGCCCATGGAAAGCTTCAGAGAAGGAATTTTCTGGATGGAATAAAATATAAATATAAGGAAATTAAATCAGCTAATAAAGATGAAGGTGAGGAGGAGCATTACCCACATGAATGAAGCTGTCTCTGTCTTTGAGGAGCTGGAGATCTAGTAGGAGAGACAGCTTTCTGCCTGAGGGGGAAGAAGCAGGCTTCGTGGAGTGGCTGAGCTGGGCTTTGTCGGTCACAGAGGAAGGCAGTCGAGGCAAGGCCCCCCAGACAGGAGAGCCACAGGGCCAAACACACATGGAGAACGAGGCAGATGAGCCAGTGTGGCTGCCGAAGGGCGAGGGGAGGAGGGTACAGGTGGGGAAGAGCGGGCTTGGCTCCTGGGGCCTGGATGCCATGTGAGGCTTTTGGACCTTACACTTTAGGTTGATGGGGCAAGGAAAGGCCATGGTTAGCTTTGCAGTGTGATAAGGTTATCAGGCTGACAGGATAGAGGATAGTCTGGGGTCCCCAAATAGTGGGGAAGTGTTTCTGGTCTACGTGAGAGATGATGGTCGTCTGGACTGAGGCAGAACTTGAACCCAAGGCTGTAGGATGGGAGAAGACATTTCCGGTCTCCCACGCAGGTGTGGAGTGCCTACCGTGGCCAGGCCAGCTCCAGCACCTCACCTGGGTTATCTCGTGGAATTTCTAAAGCACTCCTGGTCAGATCTGGGCATGAATTGGGCCTCAGGACTGGGAGAGGGGCAGATCTAGTTGGGGAGCCCTTGGACATGCTCAACCTAATAGCTCGGATGGTTCCAGGGAGCTGGAGAAGGGGAGGAGTGGCAGGGAGAGCAGAGCCTGGCCCCCAGGACCCCCTCCTCACTTGGCCTGGAGCCTGGTGGTCGAGGCACCTGAGCAGTCCATGGGCTTCCCTCTCTCCTTCCTCCCTCCAGGACTCCTCTGTGTTCTGCCTATGCATGTCTGACTGGGGTCTTCTCCCGGGAGCCCTCCAGAGCACCCACTGCGTCTAGATGAAGGCTGAGCTCCTTAGCTTGACGTTCCGGGGTTTGGTCTCCACCGTCTGGCCTCCCCCCCAGCTCTGCCTGACCCCGTTCTTCCCCTCAGAACAAGAACTTGTGTTCTAAGATGCTGCCTCCTCCCCACCCCCTCCAGGCTTACTTTAATGCTGTTGCTGCTGATGGTGACGCTGATTGACAGTGATGGTGGCAGTGATGGTGGTATGACAATGACAATGATGGTGTGTATGATACGGACAGTGATGATGCTGATGGTGAGGATAATGAGGTGAAGATGGTGATATGATGGTGATGGCGATTATGGTGATGGCAGTGATTGACAGTGACAATGGTGTTGATGGTGATGGTGATGACTGACAGTGACGATGATGGTGGATGATAGTGAAGGTGGTGATGGTGACGGTAAGGATAACGATGGTGAGGGTGAGGGTAAGGGTGGGGATGATGATGGTTATGGTATTGGAGGTGATGGCGATGATTGACAGTGATGGTGGTGTTGATGGTGATGGTGATGATTGGCAGTGACAGTGGTATTGATGGTGATGGTGATGATTGACAGTGATGGTGGTGTTGATGGTGATGGTGATGATTGACAGTGATGGTGGTGTTGATGGTGATGGTGATGATTGACAGTGACAGTGGTATTGATGGTGATGGTGATGATTGACAGTGATGATGGTGTTGATGGTGATGGTGATGATTGACAGTGATGGTGTTGGTGATGGTGATGGCGATGATTGACAGTGACAGTGGTGTTGATGGTGATGGCGATGATTGACAGTGACAATGATGTTGATGGTGATGGTGATGATTGAGTGACAGTGGTGTTGAAGGTGACAGCAATGATTGACAGTGACGGTGGTGTTGATGGTGATGGCGATGATTGACAGTGACGATAATGGTGGATGATAGTGAAGGTGGTGATGGTGATGGTAAGGAGAGTGATGGTGAGGGTGAGGGTAAGGATGGGGATGATGGTGGTTATGAGATTGAAGGTGACGGTGATGATTGACAGTGATGGTGATGATGATGATTGACAGTGATGTTGGTGGTGACAGTGAAGCTGGCTGGCTACACAGCATCCTTGGTAGGGGTGGGAGATGCCCAGACCCTGCCTTATTTTTAAACATCTGGGGGAAGTTCACCCCTCACAGGGGCCTAGGAACCCCCCACCTATCATTCCCTTCTCCTCATCAGGACTGAGCTTCTCTGGCAGACGAGGGCCTTCTACTCACAGCACTCCGTGGGAAGGGAGGAGGGGGCTGCTACTTATGGGCCTGGTATAATACAGGAGGGTCTCAACAAATAGTTGCTTAAAAATTTTTCAAAAAATATTCCCTCTGAAGAGAGGGAAGCCAGGCGGCTTTGTCTTGCAGAGCGCAGTCTGAGGTTTGCTGAGGGCCAGCTGTGCGTCAGGCGCCGGGCCCAGAGGCTCCTCATGAATGGCCTTCTGGAACCTTCGCCACGACTGTGGGAGACAGGAAGAACCAGCACCATCTTTAACAACTGTGGTAAAATCACAAACATAAAATGAACAGTCTCAAACACCATCAGAACATAGTTCTGTGTTGTTTGGTCTGTTCAGGGTGGTGCGGAATCCTCCAGAACTTTCCATTTTGCAAAAGTAAACTTTCTACCCACTAAACAGCACCTCCCACCACCCCTCTCCCTGTGTGCCCCTGTGCTGTCCCGGTACCTCAGCTATGTGGAATCTCCCTGGGGTTGTCTTCCTGTGTCTGGTTTATTCCACTCGGCGGGCCCTCGAGCTCCCCCCATGTTGTGGCGTGGCAGAACTCCCTTGGTCTTCAAGGCTGAGCAGGGCTCTGCTGTGCATATTTACCAGGTTGGTTTACCTGTTCACTTGTCAGGAGATGCCGGGTGGCCGCCACCTTTTGATTTTTGTGCACAATGCTGCTCTGAGCACAGAGGCTACCCCACAATCCAGAACAGCACAGAGGAGCTCTGGGCGGAGTGTGACCTGCCCAGGGAAGGATCCTCACCCAGCGTCCCAGACCCCAAAGGCAGGGCTCCTCCACCACCCAGTGCCCCCACCTGGAGCTGGACTCATGGAACCCACTGAACCTCTAGAAGTTCAGGGACAGAGACTGGAGGGTGTGACTGAAGCCACCCCTTTTTCTGTCCCTCTACTGCAACCTCTGAGCCACAAAACACATGACCTGCTTCCCACTCATTCATCAGATATGGATGAAACGCCTACTGTGTGCTGGGCATGTGCAGGGGACACTAGATGAAGGCCCTGGGGATGACTGAGCTGTGAGCTCAGGGCAGGTTGTTGCACTCACTCATCTGTGACCATGATGCCCGGGAGAGTGCCTGCACACAGCAGGTGCTCAGTAAATGTTGGGAGAACGAAGAAGAGTCAAGATGAGAACAGGAGCCTGGAATCCATCTGCCCAGGACTGCTACTGCTGTGCCCTGAACAGCCTCCTCCCTTGTCCAAAGCTGGGGGGGGTGGTCCTGCCTGGTCCAGCTTCTCTCCCAGGGTGTGTGGACAGGTTTGCATGACTCCAGGGAGAGGAGGAGGAGACAGCGGACTCCCCCACCTCACTGTTGTCACTTGCAGAAAGGCCATCTCCTCTTTGCCTGCAGATTGCCTTCGTACCCGCGGACTCTGACTTCCAAGGCATCCTATCCCCGAAGCCCCTGGGCCTGTTGGAGAATGGGCTTGCCACAGAGGTGAAGAGGTAGGTATGGGGGCAGTGGTCAGCCACCTAGACCAACCTTCCCCAGAGAAGCCAGTGGGGTAGGCTTTCCCTTCTCCTTGAGCAGGGCCCAGCCTTGCCTTCCTCCTTCCTGAGAACACACTGTCAGAAATCATGGGTTATGCATTATTACTCCCATTTTACAGAAGTGGAAACGGAGGCTCAGAGAAATCTCATGGGGAGTTGGTGATGGAGGTGGGGCCTGAACTCTGGCTACTCTGGCCCCCAACCTGCCTTTCCCCTGGAGGTGCCAAGCCCTGGCCCTTGCTCTGTGCACAATCAAGAGCACTCTGGCCTCAGCTACCCAGGTGTGACCTGGAACTCTGAAGGCCAGGCTGTGGGCCCAGGTTGTCAGGCCTTAGAGGCTCGCTCTATTTTGCTTGGAGATGGTAGTGACGATGGCATTTGCTGCTCCTGCAACAGAGTGAACACATCTCCCACTGGGAGTGCAGTGGTGGACCTGGGTGGGCATGGGGACATCCCAAACTCTCTTGGGTCACAGGGCTAGTTATAGGAGTGAGCTGCTGTGACAGCTGGGGCTCAGGCCACCCTGGTCCTGGCCTGTTTCTTGTCATCTCCCAGTCATGGGACCTTGGGCAGGGGACTTTGTCTTCGAGCACTAGTGCTGCATCTCCACGGGTGCAAGCCAGCTTCAGTCCCCATGCCTGGGTTTCCCCATGGCACCTCTAGAGTCACGGGGCAATTAGAAGAGCTGAGCCCCAGCTGGCCCTCTAGCAGCCCTCAGAGCCGTGAGTTCTTATGGCCAATACACTCCCATCTCTAAAATGGAATGGTAATTTCTGCCTCCAGGTGTTGTTCAAAATAACAGGATGATGCGGTTGGGCACCCACAAACTCCCCAAGTAACTGGCCTTATTTTGCCATCACACCCTTTGGAGACACCAAGTGAAAGTCAGAGGTGGGGTCAGGCCTGGATCCTGCACTTAATTTACTCACCTTCCTTGCCTCTGCCTCCTCATCCATGAAGTGGGTCCAGAGATGCCCCCTGAAGCTTCTTGTGAGGTTCAGGGCGATCATGTAACAGAGCAAGAGGACAGGGGAAGACAGATGCCGAGGCCAGCTGCGTGCCTCATTGCCCACCCGCCTCTTCTCTCTCCTGCTCTGTCTGCTCCCTGCAGCCCCCAGGCCCCCTACGTCAGGCTGTGGGAGGAGGCGGCCTACGACCAGAGCCTGCCTGACTTCAGCCATATCCAGATGAAGGTCCTGGGCCATAGCGAGGATCCTCGCCCATTGCTGGCCCCTGAGACACAGCCAAGAACCAGCGATGGAGAAGCAGGTGGCCCGCAGGATGCCCAGGCCTGGGTGGAGGCCGCTGTGGTCGTCCACAGGGGCTTGGATGAGAATGAGGAGGAAAGACACCGAACTCAGAACAGGCCTGGGTGAGCGCAGAGCTCGGAGCAGGGGCTGCCCAGCTCCAGAACCGGGGAGGGCGGGGATGTGGGACCCTAGATGGGGGGGACAGGACACTCGAGACAGAGGGGAGGGCAGTGGGGGTGCAGGACACTCAGAGCAGCAGGCAGAGTGGTGACAAGGAGTCAGGCCAGGGTGGGAATCCCAGCTCCCTGCTGCGTCTCCTTGGCAAGTTTCCTGCTCTCCTGAGCCTCAGTTTCCCCAATGGGAAGTCACTCCACACAGGGCTGTTGTAGAATAGGGACACAGTAAGCCCTTGCTTTCTCTGAATGTTGTCATGGGTAGCAGCGATCCTGGAGCCAGAGGACCCAGGATCAAATCCTGACCCTGCCGCTGACTTGCCCTGTGACCTCCAGCAACTGGGCTCTTAGATTCATCCATTTATTTGCTTATTGCATTATCAATTCTGGGCACCAACTCTCTGCCAGGCCTTAACTGGCCTCCTCTCTAGCCTTCAAGAACTCCCAGTCTAGTTGGGGAGGCACACGAAGGAACAAAGGGACCCCTGGTGTGTCAGGGGCTGTGAGGGACCAGGGGAGAACCCCGGATGATTGGGGAAGTGCAGAAATGGCCTGGTTTGGATAATACCATAAGAGCCCTGCTTCTTGAGCACTTATTACGTGGTAGAAATCATGTAAAGTGCTCTGTACGTATTATCTGCCATAAACTCAGAAACAACCAGTGGAGGGAACACTTATTTCCCCTGCTTTATAGGAGAGGAAGCTGAGCCCCAGAGAGGTGAGCTGGCCTCCCCCAGGCCTTGCAGTGGGGGCTGGCTCTGGACCCAGGCAGTCTGACTCAGAGCTACTCTCTGCCTCTGCAGCTCCCCAGCCTGTCCCCAGGGCCCTGCGCCCTTGGCCTCCTTCCAAGATGACCTGGACTTGGGCTCCAGTGAAGGTAGCAGCCCCAACCCATCTCCACCTGCTGGGGAGGAACCTCACCCCCTAGCACAGAAGCACCGGGCCTGCAGGAGCACACGGGGCCGCTTCTATGACTTTGCCTTAATTGATGATGCTTCTGTGTCAGAGGATGGGCCCCGAGAGGGGCAGCAGTGGGAGACAGCCCTGCCCAGCAACAGCTGGCATCAGTACCCAAGGACAAAGGAGGTGGAGGAGGAGAAGGCTGTAGAAGCAGGTGTGGAGGAGCCCGAGGAGGAAGAGGAAGACTTGTACTACGGACTGCCAGACAGCCCCGGGGACCCCCTCCCCGACAAAGAACTGGGCTTTGAGCCAGATGCCCAGGGCTAAGATGGAACTGCCTTAAAGTTTCTAGACTGACCTCTCAGGGCTTCAGTTTCCCTATCTGCGAAATGGGATCATAGGGAGGATCAACGGAGACAGTGGACCGAAGAGCATTCTGAGAACTCTGGAGGAACACCAGGGAGGAGAGGGGCTCTTCCAGTAGTTAGCTCTCACTGGAAAGCTCTTTTTTTGAGGCAGGGAGGGTACCGGGGATTGAACTCAGGGGCACTCAACACTGAGCCACCTCCCCAGCCCTATTTTGCATTTTATTTAGAGACAGGGTCTCACTGAGTTGCTTAGCGCCTAGCCGTTGCAGAGGCTGCCTTTGAACTCGCAATCTTCCTGCCTCAGCCCCCCAAGGCGCTGGGATTACAGGCCACCATGCCCAGCTTTTGGCAAGCTCTTGAAGGTCAGATGGGATTTGTTGTGAAGATCCACAGCAGCTGGGCTCTCAAAAGCTTTTTCTGCTTCCCCAAAGCCGGCCTCTGACAGGGCGCCTGTGTGGTGCTACCCAAGGGCCCTCGGGCTCCCCTTCCTGTTCTGGTCCACAGGAAGGTGATGTGGTCTGACTCAAACTGACTGGGTCTCCCCCTGGCCCAGTCCCTCCTGCGGCTCCCACTATTGCTTCGCCAGTATCCAAACCTTCGGTGACTGACCCCTGCCGGCCACCCAGCTGCAGCCCTGAGCAGCCCCACCTCCTTCTCTGCTCCTCCAGTCCCTATCCCCAGCTCACAGACTTGCCAAGCTCCTCTCCACCAGGAAGCCCTGGTTCCCGCCAACTCACACTCAGTCTGCAAACCCCTGCGGAGACGGCCTCCTCTGACACTGCAGCTTTGGGAATGGGTGGTCCTCACTCCTCGGTGCTCCCTCCGGGGCTCATACGTGTATCACTGTGACATCACACCTGCCTCCTGCTCCAGGGTGGCATCTTGGTGGGTTCGGTGGCCTGGAGCCTGGGTCACTGAGGGTGTGCAGGACTCACGAAGGGCCAGGAACCTGTTGCAGATAATGTCACCCTCTTCCACTTCCCCAATTTTTGAACACATGGCCTCTTTACATCCCTGGCAGATGGCTAAGCCTGGCATAGAGCTCCCAGAATGGTACCCACCACCGGCCCACAGAGCGTGGTTGCTTTGGCTGAGAGTGGGTGGAATTAAGCATCCTAAATTAAGTCCGTTAGACTCCTGAGCATCTACTATGTCCCTGAGGCTCAGCTGGGATCATCAGGAGGGAAGAGGCATGAACAACTAATATGACTCTTGACCATCCAGCGAGCCAACTTTCTTTTAAGTTTGAGACAAGAGCACAGAGCTAAGGTGAGAGCAGAGACATCAACAATGACACCAGAGGCAGCACAGTGACAACTGAACAACCATCTGGGTCCATCAAGGGCAGCAGCAAAGAGCCTCGGCAGCCCTGAAGGCCTGGCTGTGTTGTGGCGTCACAGGGCAACGCCTGCCTCCTGTGGATCTCTGCAAAGTCCCTCTGTGCCCCAGCCTGGGACAGTGGCAGCTAGCTGTGGAGAAAAGGGCAGTGGTGCCACCTCAAGCCAGGTCCCTCACCCAGGGCTTGTTCCCTGGACCACCTGGGAGTGGGAGGCATCACCGGGCTGGGCCTCTGGGTGGAGGTTGGGCGTCTTGGCTGAGGGAAGGGGAAACCCCTCTGCTGGTCCTTTCTGGGCCGTTTCTACCTCTGCAGTGAAGGGTGCCACCTTCAACCTCTCTGCTGATGGGACACAAGAACAGATGTCCCTGCTCATGCCCTAGTCACGGCTGAGGTGAGGTGCAGCGTGCCCTGCGCTCTGGTGGTCAAGGTAGGAACTCCCGTGACCCACCTCAGAAAGAGCACCAGCGCCAAGGCTGAAATAAAAAAGCTGTCAACAGTGAAGGACACCTTTATTCATCTGAAAATTCCTTTCTGTAAAACTACCTGTTGCCCTTGGGGCAGGATGAATGAGCCAACACGGGGCTGTGTAGGTGCCTGAGAGTGAGCATCAGACGTCCCTGTGCGTGCAGTTGGAGATCGGCACCAGGGCCCTCAGGCACAACCACAGGGCCCTGGACCCGATCCCCAGAGAACCCCTGGTGGCCTGGCCTGTCAGCAGAGACTGCCCCGGGGGCCTGCAGGGCTCTGGGCAGTGGAAAAGAGGTTTCCCGTCCCACCGTCCAGTGAGGAGACCACAAGCCTGATTTGCCTGGGACGGTCCGCGTTTGCACTGTCTCTGCCCTCAAAGCTACCCGCTCTGGATGACAACTTACAGATTCACCCTCCCTGCCCTGTGACCTTGAGCCAGTCAGGGGACCTCACTTAGCTCCCTCGTGCATGACCAGGGGATGACGCACCCACAGCTCTGAGTCTGGCAGGGTCGTGTGGTGGGGGACTTGAGGGCCTCCATCTGTCGGGGGCCCTGCAGTCAGAGACCCCCAGGAGCGCAGCCTCGGTTGACAAGGCAGGTTCTCTCCTGTCATGGTGGGGATCCGGCACCCTGGGGACCAGGGACTTGCCCTCCGACCGGGGCTGGGCTGGGCGCTTCCAGACCCGGTGCCCTCGGGAAGCAGGTGAGTCCCTGGCCAGGCGTCCTCATCCATCCTGCCCGGAAGGCAGAGCCCAGACGGAAGCCAAAGCTGCCACTGGCAAAGAGGAGGCTGCAGTCACCCTAGAGCCCAGAGGGCCGACTGTCCTTCCTGTGGCTTGGGCACTGTTTCTGATGGTCCCCTCCATGGTGACCACCGAGTGCTCCTGCCTTCCTCAGCCTCCTGCTCCAGGAATCCCACTCTGGGGCCTGGTGGGGGCAGGGAGGGCCTGCTGGGAGCGGGGAGGGTACTGAGCTTGGCATTTGAGAGCAGGGGCTGTGGCTCTGTGAAGGACAGGGCGGGTGGCCCTGCGTCCCCCCAGTTGCTCACTTGCCACCATGTCTGAACCCACCACGGGCTTCACCCCATGGCCATGCCAACGTCTAGTCCCCTCTAGGAATGCCAGCACCATTGGATGTCCCTGGAGGTGGTCAAGTGACCTGGAGGTCCCAGGGGTGGGCAGGGGTGCCAAAAATGACCAGAGGAACCACCTTGGGATGGCAAAGACGGTCTGTGTGCCAGGGCCTTCTCCTGCTCACCCTCCTGTCAGCTCAGAGGGACTCAGACATCTCCACTCTCTGGAGCGGAAAAGGCCTTGCCAGGAAGGGTGGGCAAAGGAGGACGGTGACCCTGGGCACGGGGAGCTTGGGCTCTGCCCACTGCTGGCTGTGACCTTGGGCTTCACATCATCACCCCTCCCTCTCTATGTGTAATGAGGAAAAAGGGTCAAGATTCCATTTCCACGCCCAGCCCTTGGGTGCTGTGAGCTGGGCACATTCTCACACATACTTCTTCATCTCGTCCTCAAAATAGCCCTGGGGTGACAGATCTACTGACCCTCATGTTTCTTCTAAATCTCAGACTTGGGCATGAAAGGCCTGGGTTTGTGCTCAGCTCGTGCCCATTCCCTGCTGTGTGAACTTGGACAAGTCACTGTCCCTCTCTGATTCTCAGTGCCCACTCAGATGCAGTGGGAAGGATAATACCTACCCCTTGGGCTGCCCTGAAAACTTGCTGGGTACGACTCCTCTGCATAGCACAGGTACTCCAACAGGGGCAGTGTCCTTCCTTCCCTCCCTGGGTCCCAGGTTCCCATCTGCACAGTGGGGATCACTTCTGTCCTGCTTATAAACGAGACAGCAGGCGATGGACCCACTAGGAAGAAGGCGTGTGTAGGAGTGCCAGGGCTGTGGGCAGCCAGCTAACAGGAGCTGAGACACAGGTCAAATACCTCCTGCAGGAAGCTGGGAGGGAGGGGGACCTGTGCAGCCACTGAAGGGCCAGCAGGAGTGCAGGTCCCTGGTCAGGTCAGGTGACCCTCCAGAGAGCTGGGAGCTTCCAGGACCAGCTCACTGAATTTGACCCTGGGAGAAGGGCATGGCGGGCAGGCTGGGACTCCAGCATAGGACCCCTGAGCTGGGCTGGCTCCCTGCGCACCGCTCCACACTGATTTCACCTCATTCCCACCACAGGCAAGGTCGGCGTATGGCCCCCACTTTGCAAGAAACCGAGGCTCAGGCTAAATAATTTGTCCATCGTTCCAGAGAAGGATTAAATGGAGGAGAGGACATCTAGCTGCAAGGGGTTCCCTTCCCAGTAGGAATTTTCCAGTAGCCCCAGGCTATTCTGACTCTAGTGCCAACAGGAGAGAGACCCACACCAACCGATCAGGTGGCCAGTTCCTCTGAGCACCTACTGCTCTTTGCCCTCTGCTTGTGCTGAGGGAGACACACCCTTGCTCCCACATCTTCTATGACTCCCTATTACCTCCCACACAAAGGTCAGATTCTTCGGGCTGAACTTCCAGACTCTGTGGCCGTGTTAACTGGCCTTCCCCCATGAATCCACCACTTCCAGCCCTATAGCACTGTAGACCCAAACTTGATGCCATCTGGCCTTTGCTTGGACTGTTCCCTCTGGATGCCCTTCACCCCATTCCCTTTCACCCCTCAAAGCCTGGCTCAAATTCCACCTGTTCCCTGGAGCCTGAGGCAGCCCCACTCTCCCCTCCCAGCCTCCAAGGATGGCTGTGTGTGCACCCAGCCTCCCCACCTGGACTGGGCGGTCTTTTTAGGACAGGGGCCTAGTTCTACCCATGTGTCTATCCCCAGGTCTTAGCCAAAGCAAGGAACAGTAGTGCTGGTGGGACAAAGGGAGCTGGACTGACCCGCTGTCCCCTCTGAAGGCTGCAGCCCAGGTGCACAGACTCCTGGCCTGTGGGGAGCGAGAGCACTGGCTTTGGAGTAATCAGCCCAGTTTTGAGACTAGGCTTCCCCACTGGGAAGTTCTGTGACTCTGACCAAGAGACTTCATCCTCTTGCCCTCAAATTCCTTACCCATAAAATGGAGATAATAATGTCCACTTAGGAGACCTGTGTGAGGCCTGGATATGATCCTGCATATTGAGCACGCAGCCTGGTACCTGCAGAGCCC